TTCACCAGAGACAGAGTGGGGAACAGAACAGGCAGATCGACGAAGTACACTGCTGAGGGGAGCAGCGGGCAGGTCAGGAGAGGTCTGCCATGCCATGTGGATCTCCTCCGGGGCAGGTGGGAATCGAACTCATGGGGAAGCGGCTTTAGATTCTCAGTGCTGTGCTTTAACCCAGTGCGCTACCAGGGAGGGCCGAGCAGAGTGATTTTAAGAGATTGTTTTAGTAGCAGGTGGCGGGCAAGAGTAAAAGTTAGGCTCATGCGGGAAACTGGAAAGAACTGCTTGTGAGGTGTTATTGACAGTTGTCCAAAAAAAGGGGTCAAGATGACTTCAGGGTTTGGGGTAATGCATGTGGAGGGCTTTAATTGACATAACTGTTAGACATCAAGTAGAAACAGAATATTGAACAACGGATTGGACGTTTTCTCACTTTCAGCTCCCTTCAGCTGGACTAAGAATATGAAAAGGGTGTGGCTAAGCACCTGTTGTTATGATGCCTCTGGTCCCTAGTAGGAAGAGCTGGGAGGATCTTTTTTCACATGAATCATACAACAAATGATTTGTCATTTGCACTCATCAAAACTTCTGCAAGCACCCTAGTTTGGGAGTTGCCAGTCTGCTTTCTTAGAGTGGGCTTCCACTTGCTAACAAGAGTAAAAGTAAAAGCATCCCAATTGCTTTACAGAGAACCCATTGCTGTGCAAACAGCTCCAGGAGAACTTGGCACTGCTGGTGACGTGCATGTGCTATTTGAGACTTCCATGTGGTACATCCTCAACAAGGTGGTAATAACTAAAGGGCAGCTTGCCCACAGAGGGTACAGGACTAGGGTCAGATAGGGGATCAGACTGAAGGCAATGCTTCTCTGGAATGAACAGGAATGCAAGGTCCCTGGTTGCTTCAGTTTTGAACAGTAATTTGTATTAATTCACTTTCCAAACTGTATATTCCAGCTCAGGGTCAAGAGTAGCCAAAGCCTTACTAGGCAGCTTGGGGTGCAAGGCAACCGTGATCAGGGTGCCTTCCATGCATCCACTCTCACTCAGACTGGGAAAGTTGAAATAACATGCACTTGGGGGTATGGGAGGAAATCTGAGCAAGCTACACACAATGGCCCTGTCTAGTAATCAGTTTTTTTCCAATCAAAAGTTTTAATGAAATGACATTTAACAAATTGGCATTCAAGGGTCTACTGTACAAAAGCCCAAAGAAATACAGCACAAGGGGATTCTCTGGATTTGCTTGTGGTCACTAGTCATGTACTATCTTGTCAATGAAGCTTAAGTTCTAACTCAAAACAAAAGACAGCACCAGGTGTCCACCAGGTGAAGTAGGAGGGTGCTGGCTCGCAGAGCAGTGAGACAGTATGGAACTTTATATTTACAAGTGCCAGGAAGACTAAGTTATTTAATGGGGAGACATCACATTTGCGATTTGAAGATATCTTTTGGCTGCTCTGAAAAAATGCAAGTTGAGCAACACAGGATGAAGTCAAGTGGTTAGCAAAACAGCAGTCCAAGTTGGAAGAGGTAGTAATGGCTTTGGACCAGGGTGTTTCCGTGGAAGCAAGGAGAGTGGATGGATTCTAAGGATGAGAAGTGAGTCAACAGTTACTGGTAATGGTTTATGTTGTGGGGGTTACAGGGAATGCATTCCCCTATTATGCAGTTAAGTTCATGGCAGTACAGGGGAGATACCATGATCATGAGGTTAAGGAATCTGGATGATGAGTTTCCCATCAGGATCATTGTATTTTTAATACAGGAGAATCAGAAACATGATGTCGGAGAAACAAGAACAGCATCTTTGGCCTTAGGGGAAGACTATGGCCCTTTTCCTTTGAACTAAAGAGGATGCAGACAAGTAAATGCACTTCTGGGATAACAAGAAAAGTAGAATTTTTGCAGTATATATCATTGAGAAGTACAGTTAGACCCCTCCTGTCCAACGACATGTGAATAGAATGTGACTCCTTAAACTTCCTATATACTGACAAATGAAATGTAAAACAGCTCGTTTACTTAAAATACTGATTACATGTTAAAATGTTGGTATTTTGGAAATACTGGACTAATTCAGATATATAATGTAAACTTTACCTATCTTTGACTTCTTAAGATGTAGCTACTAGAAATTTCTACATTACATATTTAGCTCAAATTACATCTGGACATGTGTTTTGGACAGGGCTGTTTTCGAAGTTCAAGCTAGTGTTCTAAGATACGCCACCACACTGCAGTTTGAAGACATAATATTAGTCTGCAATCGGTTTGCATGAGCCCATGCCACAAACGCGCCCAGACCAGCTGCTAGGCTCTGCTCCCTGAAAAACTACAAGGGCCATCATGCACTGCGCGCCTCCGGGGCGGGGCCGCGAAGAGTGGTCGCTGGGACGTGACGTTCGCGACGCGCCGGCTTTCGGCTTACTGCCGCGGAGACTCGGGTCCTGGTGGTGGGAGGGCACGCTGTGCCAGGCAGTGGGTTTACAAGGCCGAGGCGTCGCAAATATGGGGGTGTCTGGAGCTCCTGCGTGAAGGTGTTTTGTGTCTGACCTTCCCGATCTCATTCTGTTGGAAGTGAAGACCGTGCCTTCCCCGACGTGTGTCTTACGGGCAGTGCCGCCTCTTTCCTGGACGGTGAAAGGTGGTTGCGGACTAGCACGGAGGCGTGAGTGCTCACTGCAGCCGCCGGGTACCCGAGGAGGCAGACGCCGCGTTTTTCTGGCCTCCCAGGCAGGAGTCTCTCCTACCTGGAAGGGCTCTGTTTGCCTGGGTACCGAGGAGGCCAGCTTCGGGGACTTTGGCTTCCAACACTGTTAACGCTGTTTCTCCCTGACCGGAATCTGTCCTTTCTTTTCTTTGAAAAGGATGTGAGTTCTTAAGTTTTCTGGTGCTTTTATAACATGTGGTTGTGTGGACAAAGACCTGTTTAACTGAGCTCTTGTTTTTTTTTTTTTTTTAGATTTTTTTATTTATTCATACAGAACTGGGGTACAGGCCAGAGATGCGGAGGGTGAGAGGATTCACCAGAGACAGAGCGGGGAGCAGAACAGGCAGATCGACGAAGTACACTGCCGAGGGGAGCAGCGGGCGGGTCAGGAGAGGTCCGCCACACCATGTGGTCACCTCCGGGGCAGGCGGGAATCGAACTCATGCGGAAGTGGCTTTAGATTCTCAGTGCTGTGCTCTAACCCGCTGCGCCACCAGGGAGGGCCACTGAGCTCTTGTTTTATATGAAGAAGTTATTGATGATCTGGTAGAGCGGGGCTTAAGGGGGTGCGGGCTTGAGTTAAAATATACAGAACCAATGGGAATCAGCTGCCAACTCTCATCCAGACTTAGCTCCGTGGATGAGGAAGACATGATATTTCTGGGCTGCTGATCCATAGGAGATCAATATTCTTCTGGCTCTGTCTTCTTGCCTGTTGTGATACCTACCTATGGTTTACTTTCATATTGGTTCCAGAATATGTTTCTGAAGACACACTGCTTTAAATTCTTCCATTCAAAGGATTCTGGTATCTCCCATGCTTTTCTTTTGCCCCTAGGGACTACTGGTTCTGACTTTAAAGGCACAATTTATGTCAGTTCCTGACAATTGTGTTTAGTCAGTGTGGCCTGATTTACATTGATTATGACTGCAATAAAAGACCAGCACATCAGAACTGTTAAAAAAAATAAAGGGAGGGGAGTGGGGGAGAGAGGAGGAGAGGAGGGCCTGGGAGATGGGACAGAAGCAAAAAAGATAAACTGAAGGTCTAGTGATTCCTCTTATCAGTCTCAGTTTAACACAATACAGGAATTCATTTGTAGAAATACTTTCAGAAGCTACATGCATTGGGGTTCCATAAAATCTTTTTAAATTAATGTTTAGCTATGTCTTGCTCTGACAGCTCTGTCATATATTGGATTCTTTTGCTAGAGTAAAGAAGTGAGCTTCCAGGAACGTATCTATATGTCTCTTTCAGGTCAGGTCATCATAATGTGTTTTTTCAGTTTGGTTTTATGTGCCCATCACGTTCCCTCTATATCTCAAGAAGCTCAGGAAAATCAAAAGTTTGTTGTTGTTGTTCTGTAGTGTTATTCACAGTGGACTTTATGCTCAATGTTGTGGCAGTTTCTCTGTAAGTACTACTTAGTCCTTACAAGAACCCCAATAGATTGTATACTCTGTTATTCCTACTTTAGCAGATAAGAAGACAAAGAAGATATCTGCCCAATGTCACACACTTCATTTTAACAGAACCAGGATTAGAACCCAAATAGGGCATCTCTAGAGCCACACACTCTCTATAAAGGACACCCTGGCTGACGAGAAACCTCTGGGCTCTGTCACTCCCCCGTCTACCTCATAAAACTTTATACATGTTGCTGCTTTCCTGACTGGTGCACCAGTACAATTTATAACATTATATGATGGCGGAAGAGGAAAGTAAGTGCCTGAAAGGAGGATGGAAAAGGAAAACATCTG